ATTTTTCTACTATAAACATAATAAATGTAATAGGCTGAGAAAAGGGGATATTACAAACTGCATCTATTATAGTTTGAGAAAAAAATATAATTTTTCTAAAAAAAAAAGTTCTAGATTGAACAATGAATGAATTGAAGATAAATTGAATTGAATTCAAAATAAAGTAACTTAAAAATCAATATTATAATGCGTTAAAATTTGCATCTACTTGATTGGTGTAATAAAAACGTTGAGAATGTTATGAAAACTGAGAATCACTGAAAACTTAAACAATGAATGAATTAAAGATAAATTGAATTGAATTCAAAATAAAGTAACTAAAAAATCCATATTATAATGCGTTAAAATTTGCATCTACATGATTGGTGTAATAAAAATGTTGAGAATGTTATGAAAACTGAGAATCAATGAAAACTTAAAAACAAGTCACAATTGCACAATTGAATCTATTGATTTTTTCCATATAAACTTGGAACAAATTTTATATGAAAATAAATTGTAAGTGGTTCAATGTATTGAAACATTACAGATGCAGTCTTAATAAAATTAATCAAAATAATAAAATCAGTAAGAAAATATTATTATTCCCATTTAGTCTAAATAATAATATATGCAAGATAGCTATAACGTAATCAGTTCGAAGATACTGATATATAAACAAAGTGATCCAGCATTGTTTAGAAATATTATTAGGAGCACCTGTCTAAATATGGTGTTATGAATCAATTCCACCTTGGTAATAGGTATATATATGTGTTTTATAATATAAATAAATTTGGAAAACAAAGTCATTCTCAAACAATAATTATTTACTGCGTTTTGTTTATCACCGTTTCGATTAACTGTTTCAGTCAATTTTATAACAAAAATAGGAGATATCAAAATTAAACAGGAAAATAAATATGAAAATTAATTATTATCTTTTTTGTAGTATTTTTTTACAATACTAGCAAATTTATATTTGTGTTCGCTTTATTTTATTTTGCGATTTTAAATTAAATTTTAAATTATGCGATACAAAATAAAAAAAATGTTTAAAAAAGTAAAAATGCAATACATTTCTTATTTGCTTCGCACGAGGAATTAATTAAGTTATTTTCAACCGAATTATTTGATCAGTAGAATAGTAGATATCAGTCTAATTAATTTAGTATTATTTGTTATCCAAATTTGTATTGATAGTAAAAAAAATCTTTTATTAACGTTTTGAAAGCACAAAACGGAGTCTTTCTTTTCAGTCGAAAAGAATATCCCAGAGAAAAATCGGAATTAATGGTAATAAATAATGGCAATACAATGTATATATAATATATATTCTTGTGTTTAATTTTTCCTATAGTAATTTATACATAAACGATAAAAAGTTTGTTCACGTTAGTAAAGTTCACGTTAATTAACATTTAGTTTCAAAATACAAATATTATTTTTTTAATTACCTAATTAATATGGCCAAACGGTGCTTGAGCATCTTTCTTCTTCTTCGTGTTAAACACAAAACACTTCACATAAACACAAAATCGTCACATGTTAACACGTGCTTAATAGAACAAAATCCTTGGGAAACAAATTAATTAATTCAGAAATACAAGTTCAAAACCAGTTTTAATTGAAAATCATTGTAGAAGCAATATGTTCTCAATTAAGCAACATATATGGTAGGCTCACAAAATATATGTGCAAATGGATTAAATATTAAACAAAAAATAATAATTGTAGAAGGTTTAACTTCAATGGCATATTGGTGATGAATATCCTCCAAAGCCAAAACTGAATAAATGGAATGAAAAAGCGTTTATAATTTATGTCTCCAGGATTCTTTGAACATTTTCGATCAAGCAATTAAAAAATCACTTTCACTGAATTTTCTCACATATTTCAATTACACAATTGTTCCTTTAACACAACAGTTATTTTAAGACTAACTTCGACAACTCTTGCACAAGCATCGAAAGAATGAATCAACGCGTGTTGACCACGTGCGAATGTCTATCCTCACTGAAATCCCATGAGCAACTAATGGATTTAGTTGCTTTATTGATCACTAGTTGGTAATAATTTATTATTTTCTAGGGATGAGGGTGACAATATTGATAAAAGAATATTTAAAAAAAATAATTTATTCAGCCAATTAAATGCAACCAAAATTAAATGGTGTGAGCATACTGAATTTATTTAACAAAACACTGCAAATAAGTTTTGATGTTCACAATAAATTTCTTATCAGGATTTATCCGCGAAATTCGTTTTCATTAAGATACATCAATTGCATATGCATTTATTACTCGTTTAGATTTAGTGAAAACAGTAAAATATTACTAAATCATATTTACACCTTATCTTTTTTTTCTTTTTTGATATCCATTCCCATTAATACCCGTTTTGAGTAAAACGGTTTTTATTGTTTGCTTGATCACACTAAAATATTGTGTTTTTTTTTATTCAACGAGCAAAATTATTATTCTAAATATAACATTTTTCAAATATGTAAAAATTCGTTGTATATGTAAGGTAAGGAGAGCAGAAGAATTGATTTGTACAAACAGTCGCAATATGTGGTCTGATCAATAAGTAGTACTATCATTATTATTATATGTATTAACAATCTGAATACAATGCATTCAAGAAGTTAATGTGATACATTTCATTATAAAATACAAATCAATATTATGCAATAGTTCTCGTTCTAAAGAACGGCATACTATATGATATTAGTAGGTGGTCCATAGGCCATTTTTTCTAATTGTTATTTGATGAAAGTAAAAAAGAAACATTGGAGTTTATGTGATTTTCTATGTTTGAGAGGTGAGACTTGACACAAGTCTAGATAACATCTTTTATGAAAGGTATATTTAAATATTCATGAAGAATTTGATTGTAAACTACTAAACAGGGAGCACCTGTATTTACCCGAAGTACTTTTGATTGGCAATGCTAAACGATGGCGATGTTAGATTAGCTGCTGCAGCCCCAAAGATGCCAGAACCATTTATACTTGTTTATCTATGATCAGAGCTCCAGATTGGAATAGTTACAGTTTTACATGTAGGCTAATACATTTAAGAGACAATTCTTGCAGACTAATACTGATGTCCAATCAGCCATATAAGTTTTTTGACTTTTTTTGAGTTTGATAAGTAACACTGTTTCACAATCGATATATCGATAAATCAATATAAGTTATGAAAATCATTTGAAATATAACTACCATGCATACAAAATAACCAAATAGGATTTTCTGTAAATATAAACTTATTCTGCAAAAAGTTAATTTTTGTCTATTTGAAACATTGTAGCAATGAGTCCGAACATTTTGTGGGCAGCTAGTAAAAATCATGTACTGAAAACTATTGCAATGCAAAACTAGAAATTGCTATAAAAATATGCAACCAAAATTTTTTTTGTCACTCATTAACATTATTACCCCGACTAACAAACTCTAACAAAATTGTAAATGGTAACACAAGCCAGCAAACACTAATTTATTTGTTAATTAAGCTATTGGTTTTATCACATGCAAAAAAGGAAAAGGTTTGAAACTAAAAGAAACACTTTGCATTCACATTTTGAGTGATTAATTTCAAGCAAAGTTGCTAAAAAGTAAGAAAACTTTCAACACGAAGAAAAACTTAAAACTCGAACTCAATCTTTCAAAAAGATCAGAATATATATCTAATTAAAATACAGTTTCCAAGAACAAGCATGACAATGCTATGTAAAGTAATCCAAAATTCAAAAAATATGAATTTTGAAATAAAGAAATATATAAAATAAAACCACATAGGTATTTTGTACAATATTATTGTATTATTTAGGCAGCAGGACATTCAAGAGTTCCATCATTTATGTCATCTATTAAGTCATGTGGTGCCCTGCCATCAATGGTGCATCCTACACTTTGTGCTGTTCCCAAAACCTCTTTGATCGTTCCTGATAATTCACGAGCCATGGAACGAGGTCTCATTTGGCGGGCAATCGCAACTATGTCATCAAAAGTGATATTGCCATTGTGTTTAACTAGAAAACAACAATGGTATATGGCATCACATATAACAATTTATTCTTCATGAAACTTATTATGAAACACTTCACCAAATACTGTTCGAACTGCATTTAAGAAACTATTAATTCCATAAATGTTCTATTTTTAAAAACATTAGATAGAAACCAAGATCAACACAACATAAGCATTAACTTCCACAGCATATATTAGGGCACATTGTAAAGTAATTATAAAGTACCAAGTAAAAGAATGTAAGATAAGTACGGAATAGTAAGAAAAATAAAATTGAAGAAATTGAAAAAACTAATGTTTCTAATAACAATGTCAAATGAAGCAATATGCAAATTGAGCCCTAACCTAAGTTGAAAATAAAATCTAAGCTTAAAATGATTTTTATATAAATGTACTTACTGTTCTTTTGCTTCTTGCGGTCACGAGGGGGTTCCTTCAATGCTTTAATAACTAAAGAGGCAGCTGAAGGTACTACTGAGATAGTTGCTTGCCTGTTTTGGATGGACAACTGAACAGTAATTTTCAAACCCTTCCAATCCCCGGTAGCCTTAGCAATATCATCACCAACTTTCTTTGGAGACTAGAATTTTATTTGAATTAGTACCCAGAAATATTTTAATATAGCATGCTACGTTATGCTGTCAAATTTAGGTTATGTTGACAAATTTGTATTTATTAAACTTACCAGACCCAATGGACCAATTTTGGGGGCCAAGGATGATGTAGCACCAACTTCTCCTCCGACACATCTCAAGTACACTAAAATTAATATAATGTAAATAGATAAACATACTGTGGAAAGTTAATAATAAACGATATTGGAATACTTTCACATACCGATCTTTACTTCTGTTGGATCAAACTTTGGAGGCATTTTTCTTATTTATTTAAGCCTGCCTTAATTATAGATATATGTACAAAATTGATGTACAAAGATTTAAATAAATATTCTCATCAAGAATACGACCGCAGACGACAGCGGTAAGGTAAAAAGGAAATCCAAAGGCAGTTTCCTGTAGATATGCGATTGCGAACAATTTCTTCAGGGTTGCCAGATAATAAAAAAATGCACTATTAAAATTTTATATTTTTATATCATTGGAGATAATTTTATTAAATTAATCAAAGTTATTTCATTCAAAAACGTTATCTATAGCAGATATATTTTAATACGCTAAATATATTATTAAAAAAATAATGCATGACGTTTTCTCTACAAACGTGGTAACCCGTGCCCATGATATACAAAGGCCATGACTTTTTTGACAGTTCAAAGTGCAAGATTTTTGACAGTTCATTTTTCTTTTTTAAATTCGGAAGTTTTATATTAAAACAATTTCACTTTATACAAATGATGTTATATTTAAAGTCACTATTTCACATAATTACTTCTACATAAATTTTTGCGCTCCATCACATTTATTATAAATATGTGAATTTTGGGATTAAAGTATAACTTATAAACATGCAAACTTCTTTCCTAAATAAAACTGACTCCATACTGCAAAATGGGCCACAATGGTCCAATTTGCATTGTAGCAAAGATGCCCTGACAGATATGTTCGGCTGGTTTCTACAAGTGCTTCTTGCTTGTTTAGCATTCACATGTCTCATTGGTAACTATATAAGCATGATTTTTCTGGCTATAACTGTCAATGATTACTATTATGAATGTATTTACACATTTACAGCAAAACGTTTTTGTGAGCCAAGATTTGAAAGACGACCATGGATAATTTGGTTTTATGATACTAGCAAGCAAGGTATGGGTGCGTTAGTCATACATTTAGCCAATGTTTATTTAGCGGGTCAATTTCAAGGAGATCCATGCACGTGGTGAATATAATATTTATGAAAACTATTATTATCTGTATCGCTTGTATATGGTTAATGCAATTTTGTTATATTATTAGGTACATTATAAACTTTTTACTGGATTCTTCTATTGGCCTGCTGATTATTTATATAGGAATTCGTATTTCACAATACCTTGCTAGAGCAAAGAGATGGGAGTCTATAAATTTTGGGGAATATGGTAAGTATCAGGAGTAAAAGTTTTATTTAGTGTAATTATATCTAATAAATTTCAATAGAATACTGATATATAATTTTTTTTGTAGGAAAACCACCATCAATTAATGCATGGTTGTCACAGTGCTGTGTATATGTAGGACTTATGATAATTGTCAAAATTAGTATAACACTTCTGATACAGTTAGACTTTTGGGACAAAGTCCGGATGTTTATATTGTCACCTATATCAAATCCCAAAGTTGAACTTGCTGTTGTTATGTTGGTTATACCATTTTTTGTAAATGTAAGTTTCTTTGTTAATTTAACAAGATATTAAGTAATTTAATCTACATGGTTTAATATTTTTAGATATTAATGTTTTGGGTTACTGACAACTTCTTAATGCGCCATAGTTCGAGACGTGGTCGAAACGCTTTAGCTGAGCAAAGTCTGCTGCAAAGAGTGAAGGTAGTTGTGAATTAGAACTTTAATGCATGATCACTAATGTGGTACCTGAAAGATGTTAATAAAAGTTATGTATGGCTTTGATAACTGAATGTGTGGTTGTGGATATATAAATATTTTTGTGAAATACATTTTTGCTAAAACATGTAACAACTTCATTTATTATTATTTTATTACATAGTGCATTAATCTGATATCAGTCAAATGCTTAATTTTTTTTCAATACAATTTGTTGCAAATATAGATAGTAATAATTTAAATAGTTTGTACCTAATATCTTTTCTTGGATATGTCTTTATTTATTGCTTATAATTTTTCTCTTTAAAATATGCAATATGTGTGAAAATTAACAAGCATCAGTGACTTGTATAGAAATTGTTGATCTATTTATTTTCGTTCTGGTTTGGTCTTTGAGTGTATGGTGGATGGTCTTTTTAATAAGCTCCCTCATCATTTGATTGTTTTAATTCAATTTGTTTTATCTTCATGCACATAAATTATGTCTTTTAATCATGGTTTTTGCATAGAACATTAATATGTACATAGATTTTCATATTTCTCAAATGACTCTTATTTTTGACTGAAACTTTTTGTGTACATTCTCGAAATCCTCTCAATTTCTCATTATTTAAAATTTTTCATTATTGAATTTTATCACAATTGCAAGGTGTATTGATGTTTCACATGTTTAACCATAAAATTAAATGTTGAAAATGGAAATTTGGTAAAAAGCTTTAATGCTGAAATGATTAAGAAAGTCTTATATATTCTATCATCAATATAGTTTTATTTATTATTCACTTGTAGGTTAAATATCGATCTATTAGAAAAACTAAAGAAGTAGATTCAGAAAGTGAAGATTTGCTATCTGCAGATGAGGAATTACTGACTAGCCATGACAAAAGTTTAATACAGCAACGTACATCATTAAATGCGATTTTAAATACATAACAAAAGGCTCAGATCGATATTGTTACACCAGACATTTCAATAGGCTGTGAGCTGTACAGTGTATATATGTAAAATATTTAATTTTAGGATGTCATTCTGTGATTTTTAATTGCTTTGCTTTGAATTCTTTATCGAAACATTTTAAAATCCAGTCACATGATTTTACCATTTTTTTATATATAACTTGGTAGTTGTTAGAAAAAATTTCGAACTTTTCAAATTATTTCAAAGATTATATATTAGATATGAATATATTAGTTGGACAATTTTAGCTATAACACGATTGAAAAATTTTATTATGCTTATTAAGCTGTAACACATAGAAGTATTTTGCAAATTATATATTATATATTTTTTTAAACTATTCAGATAATTAGAATATTTTAACTATACATGATCAAATTTATAATCTCATGTTACTTACAATGAAAAGCTTGTGCAGTTTCGGTGTATCTGGAGAACAAATTTATCTTCCAATTATAGATACCAATATTTAGTTCTAATTAAATTTTTTGACACGATGCAAGCTTGTCGATTATGCGGCGTATTATTTTCAATTCATTATTAACAATTATGAAGATAATTAAGACTGTATTGCTATATCCAGTTAAGATACGATTTTTCATATAGCCAAGTGTATATATTAGATTTATGGCTATAATAAGATGTGTATTGCTTTATGTGCCTTAACATTTATTACAAGTATCAGTAAAAAGTTGCCAAATTGTGTAGTGAAAAATAACTTATTGAGAGTATAAGTCTAACAGTAGCTTTTCATAGTTTGTTCATATGTTAATTATAATAATTCAAATTAATTTTGTATAATATTTTGATCCATATATCAAAATAAATCATTTAAGAAAATAGATACAACGTATTTGTCCATAATTTTTGTATAACAAAAATTTTGGGTTTTTGTAAAATTTTATGGTAGAGTTATTTATATGATACCTGCAGATTTTCAGTAAAACTATCGTTAGAGTAGATTACAAGAGTAAAATTGTGTTTCGACATCAGCCATATCAAAGTCAGAAGTGAATTGAATAGTGTAGCTATCAATTTATATGGAGTCTTCAAGCCACAAAGCCCCAATGTGAATAAGCAAAAATTAATAACGTCTTTTTTGATTTTATTAATTGTAGGGGCAGAAGCTTTAGAAATATTAAAGTTATAATCAGCTATAAATCTCCGAATAAATCAGTTTGCCGAAAATCAAAGAAAATGTATAGTACTTAGTTTAAATTGTTTGTTAATAATACACTTTTTTATTTTATATATATATATATATATATATATATATATATATATATATATGCAAAGAGTGTAGTAAATTTACGACAATGAGTGTAAATCTATTACAGTCATTGTAAATCTATTAAAATGAGTGTAGTAAATTTTTTACTGTGAGTGTAGCAAATCTGCTGCTGTGAGTGTAATGAATCTAAAATAGTGATTATCAATCTACAACAATGAGTATAAATCTCTTACTGTGAGTAAAAATATACAACAGTTATTGTAAATACATTAAGATTAATTTCATCTAATTATTTCTTCTAATTAACTAATTGTAGATCTTTAACCAATATGCGAATGAGTGAAAATCAAAGGCATGGCGCAATTATACGGGTCCCCCGGTTCCCGGCTGCCGGAACATAGACATACATCTGCCGCAACTTCCAACGTGGGTAAGTAAGAATTAATAAATATTTCTCTTTTTTATTCCACATATGACGAAAGTTGATATTATCCCCTTGTAACGATTTCGTTCGTATGAAACTGTAGAAAAAGCTAAAGACATCATGAGCTATAAATAAATTTAATGATTTAATAATCAGTTTGCCGAAAATAGAGTCAACTAGTGGTGTATTACATCGTGTCTTAAGGCAAATTGCTGGAACTTCCCGTACTATAACAAAATGTTTGAGAAATATCAAATGTTTTCAAATAGATTATTATAAATTCTGTAAAATCGTCTAGCATTTATAAGAATTATATAAACTGCGAGTAACAAAATTAAAATTATTCACTTAAAGTATATAAGCGAGCTTTAGGACTTTAACCAGAATTATAATTGAAATCTGAATTATTTTCGATACACAAAAAAATTGAAAAAAAAAATGAATTAATTTTTTCTTTCCAAAAGCAATTGTTTCGTCAACCCAAGCAGAAAGTTTTTTGAATCATTCATATCGGATGCTTATTTCTTTGCCATTTTTTGTGCATTTAGGTCTGTATGTTCGAAATGGCTGGACCTGCCTTTGCCAAAAAGTAATCACCCTCCTAATCATTACTAATTGAATGTTTTCTAGATCATTCAAATCGCATGCTCCGTTCTCTCGATATCTATTTCCTGCACTCTTAACTCTTTATCTCCGTAACAGTTGGACCTGCCTTTGCCAAAAACTAATTAGCACATCTCCCTATCAATAGGTATCGAATGTTTTTTGAGCCATTCTAATCGGTTGATCCTTGCGCCCGAAAACGTGAACGACAAAATGCGGACACACACACACACATCCATTTTTGCTGAGGTATGCTAAAATGTTCAGAAACCTTTAAAACGTGGAGAAATGCAAAAAAAAATATTTTCGATTTACGTCCCATTACTATAAAACTACCCTACGGAAAGTTAAAAAAGCGTATATTTAATTTGAAATATCTGGAAAATTTTTGGACACAAATATGATAATGATCAATAAATTCTTGTATTTTAATTTGTAGGCCTTTGATTTTATAAGGGTCTTCAAACCAAGTTTTATACGGAGCCACGCCAAGACGCATCCTTTAATTGATTATTAATCGTGATGAATCAATTCAATACAAGCTAATCAATTCGTTAATTATCGAATTGGTTGGGCGTAATTAATCAATTACGCTCAAGAAATATTGCGCACCTCTGTCGCGTAAAAGAAATATATATACTGTTACACAAACCGGTTGCGCTCATCGTTCTTTTGTCTACGAGCAAAAGAAATTCAAATTAATGTCGATGAAACTAAAAGTATTTCGTAGAATTTTCCATTTTCATAAATATTACTACATTAATAAAACCGTGAAATCATATTGTAAATATTTGCAAACAAACATATAAGTGTGGATTTAATGCAGACTGTGATAATTGGCAAGTACCGAAGAAGCGTCAGTGACCTGTGAATAAGAATTTAACATTCTGCTTACACGTGAGTTTAAGAAAGAAGTCCGAAATGGTGGGACTAACACATTAACATCAGAATCGGATTCATATGTGAATTTTGTTAGATGTGTTCGTAATTTAGCCCGTTAGCCGTTATTCAATAGAATTTTGTATTTCGACATAGTGCGATCGTTGTTGATGATGCCCAAGTGGAATTTTGTTCAAATCTACAAATGTCTTTCATAAGAACGCGTGGTGATGTGCTCTGTGAGTTTTAACATTTAAACTGGTATTCAAATGATTAAACTTCGACATATCGTGTGATATAATAAATTAGGTGACATTTTTGGATACAGGATACAAGGTTTTTTAGCAGGTGAGATTTTTTTCATTAATTTTCTTGTAAAGCTTTGTAATTATAATTTAATTACTACTATTTATATAATATTGTTCTTATTTTATTCTTGGCCATATAATAATAAAATTTCTTACAAGTGATACAATTACTAACACTCATCGATATAAATTAATAGGGTTGATTATTCATTCATTATTACTATATTAATTCATTGATTGAATTAATCATCAATGATTCCATTTCTATTACTTAATTGAGCATTTATTATAGATAAATATTCAATTTTATATTTTCCTCAAATAATTATTTTAATAACTAAACAATTTTATTTATATACTAGATGACCCGACAGACGTTATCCTGTACCCGTGTCTACAATTTTTTAATATAATATACTAATATTCACCGTTTACCTAAAAATAATAATTATTGTTTTTTAAATTACTCTTTACGCCAAAATGCATACACATTTATAATATGAGCGATGTTAAATGAAGAACTGCTTTAAACAATGACTTGTCGTTTTTGCAATTTTTTCCATTTATTTCTACAACATTGTACATACATCCCCAGTACTTTATAATCACATACATCCTAGAAAATTTTCTTAATAAACTTCAGAAACATTTATCAAAATCCGAATAATCTTTAGGGGGAGTATACAGTGATTGCTTGTAATTTAATATGAACTTTATATAATAGCAATAAAGATCAAATTGATTCTACGTTTTAGTTAGAAAACGTTTGAAAAAAAAAGAAAGAAACCATCCTTGGACTTCAACGAACATTTTAAAAAAAGAATTGGCCAAATTGGTCCAGGCGTTGTTGAGTTATGCGCTTAACAACACATTTTGCGATTCATTTTTATATTATAGATATACAATATTAAAAAGTACAAAATTAAATATTTAATAATGAAAGATTAAATTAAAATATTATGGCTGGAATATATAATGCGGTGCATCAGGAAAAGCTCTCGGTAATATAATCTGACGGTAAATCCAAGAAATCAAACCTTGATTTTAATACCCTGAATTAGTTTTGATGTGCAAATAAAATTATATTCATTCTTATGCAGATATAATTAAGCATTCAGTTCAGTAAACATTCATTAAAGAACTTTGCATAATATTTCTAAAGATAATTTTGAGCATGTATTCGTGTTTTTTTATTGATAATAATTAATAATTAATACTAATGACTTTGAAATGTATACGTAGAATAAATAAACGATTAGCCTTACAATTTAATATATTAAACTTAAAACATTAGTATATTTTATAGGAATATATTATATAGGAAAGGATAAATTATTGTTAGAACTAATACAGATATACTTTATATTGAATGAGACAAATTAAAAAACTATATATTTATGAGTGTTCATTTTTGAAACTTAACGCATGACTACCATTGGGTAGATATTGAAATTTTATATCTGCATATTAATAACTAAAATCACTGAATGCCTTCCCAGTCAGATTGTAATTACATATAGATTGTCCGATATAAATCAAAATATGCATTCATTTATTGATGTAAAAAAATAGTAATTTTTTATAAATTTTTCTATCATACTTACGCAATTGTACTAATAACTGTAATTTCCAAATTTGAATTATAATTGTTTCCGGTTCCGACGCATTCAATACGAGATCCGTTAAACATGGTCATATATCAAAAAAATCTCTCATATCATTGGCGCTCATAGTGTAACGGTAAGAGTTAAAAGGCATTTGGTTTAAATGGTAGCAAAATAATAATGTTATTTTTTTAATTAAACTTTGATATTTCAAATTAGAAATTAATAGAAAACTAAATTTAAAAATTTAGCTTTTAAAGAACAACTTACAAGCAAATGCCGTTTTTTTAAATCAGCAGTTGCAAAATATCATAATATTATATAAGAATTCATATAATATTACGTATTGATGCATACAAATCAAATATATATACCTAAACAAGGAGAACCTCAGGTTTACTCTTCTGGAATTTTGATAAAATTTCTCTCTAGGGCGCTAGAACGCTTACAGTGTTCTATATCAATATTGTAAGTAAATCTTAAGCATTGTCATGTTACAACTTTGTTAATTATTTTATAGAATCAATTATTGCAATTTGTGTGCATTTATTTTAAATAATACATCGAATCGATTCTATATAAAGCTAAAGAACTGATCGACTCTTGTGCCCATGTACAGTTGGTTTTAAGAAATTATATATGATTAATATTGATATTTAATTAAACTATATAAATACTAGATAAGTATTTAAAAATAGTTTGAGATATTAAAATATTTTTCTGAAATCAACAAAAATTAAAGCATTGATAAAACAATGTGATATTTGTTGGTGTATTATAGGAAAATATTATAAATATAGAAGGAAAATATTATAAATCGTGCGTTCAATAAGCGGTACTCAATTCAAGCAGACATAAGTTAACTTATTTAAAATAAAGTTTTTAGACATAAGTTAACTTATTTAAAATTTCAAATGACAATTTTATGAATATATTCAGTTAAAATGTATTTCTTTTCTTATAATATAAAGCAACGGTCGCGGAAACTTTTGTAATCATTACCACAAAGTATTTTTGTTTAAGGGGCACAACTAGTGTAACCGCCTAAAAAAAGGTGATTTTTGGGAATTTATATTAAAAAAACTACTTTATCAATCATTTCAAAATTTTAGAAATATATTCATACATGCTTTAAGAATACATTGTAAAATTTTTGAAAAAAAAAATTAAATATTTTTTAAGTTATCGTCGATCTCCAACGGCGCGACAAAAAAAGGCCCTTAACTGCTGCAGTCAATCCGGCCTTCTACGTGGATAAAATCAAAAAATATAATAATTCTTGTTAAACTAGATAATATTGTCTGTAAAATAAACTACGATAAAAAAATAAATAAAAAATTGACAAAATGGCGGCGTTTTAAAAAAAAAAGGCGAATTTTACCCAAAATTTTAGTCGTTTTTCGACTGCCAAATTTCGATTTTTGATCCGATCAAAAAATCGATAGTTCATTTCACGGAGAACTATATACAGAACATGTAAAAAAAATTTGATAGTGATCGGATCATTCGTTTTTGAGTAATCACTGCAATTCGGAAAATGCTGTTTCGAGAAAAACGCGTTTAAAGATAAAATGGTCGTTATACTATATACTATATGTATACTTTTTAAATCGCTGTAACTCAAAAACTATTTGAGATATCGATTTGAAATTTTAATATGTTATTTTTAAAGGGGTAATATACCGAAAAAACAAAAATCGATTTTTTCAAAATTTCACACTAGTTGTTGAAAGTTGATATATCACCCCATCAGATTACTCCATGGTGAAGAGAGATTACCCCCATGCGTACAACTACGTAACAAATACAGTAAATATTACCTATTTTCACCCCATTTGAGATTTTTACTGCAGTACCCCAACCGCTGATATAAGGTAAGGTATAAGGCTTATATCTAATACAGAACTGCTAAAATAATAAGAAAGAAAATTGCAATTTTTACACGAAATTTAATTAAAAAAGACAAGCTTACAATGTAAACCTGTTGTAATAAATAATAATATAATGGAACATATGATTTGGACAGCAATGGTTAACACATTATGCAGAGATAATTTAAAGAAGTATAAAGCCATAATTATTCTACTAATAGACCTTGAGCCAGTCCACGTTATTGGCGCATCAACGTCCGTCAGCGTCATTATACGAATAGCTTGTGTACACACAAGCAACTAAAGAATGAATGACAGAATTACATATCGTTGCTAATTTTCCCAGGCAGAGATTGATAACCTTTTAGATGCTATTTATTAAATTTAAAATTAAATTTCAGCATGTCTTCAAATCGAAAAGTAGTGTTTGTGACCGGCGGTGCCGGATACATCGGAAGTCACTGCGTCGTAGCCTTGCAAGAGGCGGGCTACGACGTTATTGCGGCGGACAATTTCGCTAACAGCGTCGATGACGAATTCGGGGGTGCTAGCGCTCTCAAGAGGGTTGAACAGATAACAGGAAGAAAGGTAATTCATAAAAATTTAAAATATTATCAAATTAGTGGGGCGCATGACATCGTGTCTTAAGGTTAAATTGCTGGAACTTCCCGTACCGTAACGAAATGTTCGAGAAATATTAAATGTTTTCAAATAGCTTATTATAAATACTGTAACATTTTCAAATATTTATAAGAATTATATAAACTGAATATTATTTATTTGAAGTATATAAGTGTACTTTAGTTAAAATTAAAATTAAAATCTGAATTATTTTCGATATACAAAAAATAATTTCATTGAAAAAAAATTGAAACATTTTTTTTTCAAAGTAATTATTTTGTTAAGGGGTTACATGGGTTTCATGGTTTCAAAAAATAAAAAAAAATTGTTTTGTCTTATTAAATTATATAACATCTCTAGAATATTGTCCTAAATGTTTAAGTTGATCCGACTAAAAGTTTCGGAGATACAGTCTTGAATAGATGGACGCTTGAGATCCATCTTTATTGTTTCTTAAAACTTTAAACGCGTTTTTCTCAAAACTATGTTTTCAAAGACGGTCGTCAAGATTTCTTAGGAACTACTCAACTGATCTTGATGAAATTTCACACAGCTCTTCGAGATATCGTTTACAATAAGGTATTGAACGAAGATATCGTTTACAATAAGGTATTGAACTATTTAAAAAAAACGAATATCGAGAAATTTTAATCGAAACTTGCATTTTTTTATAAAAACGTCCGCCAAAAATCCAATTTTCATTTTTTTCTTTTTTCCTTCGTCCAATACCTAAAGTAAAGTAACAATAAACTATAGTTTATTGTCTTTACTAAAACACGTATTGTTTATTTTTATTTCGGATGATCTTGAAAGAAGTTCTGCTGACAACGCGGAGGCACCTTTTTTTCCGAGGGACTTCCGGAAATGGCGTCGTAATGAACGCGATTTTGATATCTTTTTTGAAAATTTTACAAAATGTTTATTATTTATTAAATATGTATCTTTTAAATAAAAAAATTCATTAAAATATTTCATTTTATATGTAAAAAAACATAATTAAAAAAATGCCGTTTTTTGACCGAAGAAACCCATGTAACCCCTTAAAACAAGCTAAAGTTATTTGAATCATTCAAATGGGACGCTTAGTTCTCTCAAAATCAAAAACTACCATTTTTGCACATTTAGCTCAGTATCTTCGAAATAGCTGGACCTGCCTTTGTCAAAAAATAATCACTTCTTCTCCCAATAATTACAAATTGAAAGTTTTTTAGATCATTCAAATCGGATACTGCGTTCTCGCAAAACCTCGATTTGTATTTTTTGTACTTTTTGCTCCGTACCTCCGAAACGGTTGGACCTGTCTTCGTCAAAAACTAATCAGCATGTCTCCCCATCAGTAGGAATGGAATATTTTTTGAATCATTCAAATCGGTTGATCCATGCGCTTGAAATCGTGGACGAAAAATAGTATCCACACATATATACATACACACACATACATTAATTTTTTTTGCCAAAGTATGCCAAAATATTCAGAAGCCTTTGAAACGTAAAGATATACAAAAATTTCCATTTTTGATTTTTTTCCGAATACTCTATAACTTACCCTACGGAAAGTTGAAAAATTCAAAATATTATCAAATAATGGTAAATATACACATTAATTGTTTATTTCTGCAGGTTCCTTTCTACCGTTGTGATATGTTAGACCGTGACAGTATAGACAAGATTTTTAAAGAGGTATATTAAATATTTATTTGCACTTCATATTAATTAACTAATTAAGAAATTTCTTCATTTTAATTAACTGTAAACAAAATCATTTCAGAATCATATAGATTGCGTTATCCACTTTGCGGCAATGAAAGCTGTTGGAGAGTCTATGAAGTTACCATTGCTGTATTATAAGAATAACTTAGTGGGAATGATTAATCTCTTAGAGGTAACAATGACTTTTTACTTAAATTTATAAAGGCATTTTATTAAAGTGAATCTATTTTTATATAGAGAGAATATACTCACAGCTATTGTGTCAATAATTTAATTTAAAATTGTAAAAAGAGGTACTATTACTACGGTATAATGGTTTTGACCGGGACGGTCCCGGATTTTTACTTCGCGTTCTGTTTTTTTCTAGAAGCAATAATTGTCTCGATTGCAAATTTATTGTCCGAAGAATTTTATTCAAGTTATTTATTTATAAGTTATTTAGAGTAAATATTTATATCATATTTAAATTATTTAGCGTTCCGGATTTCATAATTATAAGTTACATAATAACGGTTTTGGAATTATAACAATATGACCAACTTAATTATTCCATTTCTAAGGTACATTTTTATTTAAGTAGTGTGCCTTAGATTGCTATTCAAAAATTCATTTTTTTTTAAACAATTACATTATTCTGCAATATTTATTATATATCAATTACCAATTATTTAAATAAGAACTCTCAATCAACGTGGCCTTATCTAATAAACTTTCTTTAGTTGCATTCATACTTTCTTTTCAATTATCTAATTTTATTTTCACTTATATGTATTACTTGAAGGTAATGGAATCCCATGAATGTTATCAGTTGGTATTTTCGAGTTCATGTACAGTTTATGGAGAACCAGAAACGTTGCCAATTACCGAAAATCATGAAACTGGAAAGGTTACTAATGTATACGGAAGAACAAAGTATTTTATTGAGGAGATGTTGAAAGACATCAGCTTAGCTGATCAGGTAAATAGGAAGATTGAGTTTTAATGAAGAGTGTTTTTTCTAAATTTTCCCAAAAGTTTGAAGTTTCCAAATTACTTGCTATACATTCTATCATTTTTAATGTTTTATGGTTTATATAATAGTTTTTCTTTAAATAGTATATAATTTATTATATTTGGATGTGCAATAATTTATTTCACAATTATTATGTATTTTTACCTTTTTAGAAATGGAATATAATTGCTTTGCGTTATTTCAATCCTGTCGGTGCACATTCTTCTGGTTTGATTGGAGAAGATCCTACAAAAGCTTTCACAAATCTAATGCCTTATATTGCTCAAGTGGCCATTGGAAAAAAGAAAGAACTAACCATTTTTGGTGGAGATTACGAAACTAAAGATGGCACAGGTAAAATTATTTTAAATAAATCATTTAGTTAAATAATTAATCGTATTCTATAAAATAGTTGCAATTGTTGTATTTAAAAGCACACATTCAAGATCAAAATGCTTAGTTAAATCTATAATTGTGTTTGTAAATTCAGCGATTTTGCTAATGTGACTTGTTTCGGAAATGAGACAAAAAAATTTAATTTGGAGAGTATTATTTTTAAAGTAGAAATCTTTCAATTAGAATTTTTTAAATCACGCTTATTTGCTTACTCAGCTTCACAAAACATATTAATACGAAAATTGGACAGGCTTACGGGTTGTTAAATCTACTGAGACCTCTCTTGAACCACAACAGCCCGCTAAGCGTGAAGAACAAGCGGACACTTTATTGACACTTATACGACCGTTACTGACATACGCCGCTCCAGCATGGAACGCGACGACGAAGAATAACTTACAGAAACTACAGACATTACAAAATAAGACACTACGACTAGTACTTAACAAAATAAGGGACCCACTGACTAGACATTACTATTCTTCAAAATACATACACAAACAGACTGACGTACCAACATTACTCGACTATATAAAAAGCTCACTGAAAATTTTAATCTAAAATGTGGGGATCATCCTAATATTAACATCGCGGGCCTCGGCCAATACACAAGAGACGATATTTGGTATGGCAATCACGCCATGCCAAACTATATACTGATCGGCAAATGAAACTTATCGACACAATTTTTTTCCTTTAGAGTGAATAATTTTTTTATTTTGTTTTTCTTATTTTTGTATTATTATGTGTTATTATAAATAGTGCTATGTGATTTTTTTTGGCGATCCTCTTTTTTTGTCACAACTTGTATAAGGGATGATATACCTACGGGTAAAAATCCGAAATTAGAAATATTATGTACACATATATTTTTGTTATTAAAAATGTATAATTTTAAATTAAATATTTTCGTTTAGGTATAAGAGATTATATACATGTTATGGATTTGGCAGTAGGTCACGTTGCTGCTCTATCTAAACTCAATAATAATCACTTAAGACTCAAGGCAAGTGTCTAAGGTATGCTGATACGCATTTCTAAGCGCAGCATAATATATTTGTAATATTTTTAATACGTTATGATACGTTTATATCATATTATAGGATAATGCAATATAATTTTTAATATAGTTTTACAACTTGGGGACCGGCAAAGGGGTCTCAGTACTGGAATTAGTTAAAACTTTTGAACGTGTCACTGGAACTACTGTCCCTTATGTGATAACAGATAGGCGAGAAGGAGACATTACTTCTATGTTTGCTGATCCAGAAATGGCCCATAAGGAATTGGGTTGGAAAACCCAATACAGCCTAGAAGAAATGTGTAAGAAAATAACATTTTTAAATTATTTACTAAAATCTTTAATATTCGTTATTTCATTTAATAACAAACTGTATCAGAATTCAGAATAGTATAGTAAATATTATTCACACTTTTTGTGAACAACAATGTGCTAAATTATTTTTTTGTTTTATAATATAATGGTAAAAGATTTCTTTTCTTCATTCTTGAATCCTTTCTTAAAAACATTTTTTTTCGAAATAATTTCTCTAGGATAAGCTTAAGTTAAATCATTGCTAATTTACTTAGGTACTGACTTTTGGCGATGGCAAACTAAGAACCCTGATGGATACAGAGGAGGTGCCATTAATGGTCATAAATAACTTAATATAAATGTTTAAAATTAGCTAGACTGATTTAAATAGTTTTACATCAATAAAAATATTTTAATATTTATATTACCAGATATGAAATTTGTACAAAAATTTCATTTTCTAATAAAATATATTAAAATTAAGTTACATAGTTTTTTACATTTATAAATACTCACTATAAATGAAGGACTTAAATAATAAAATATTAATAATAAAATCCATGATAAAACTAATCAGCTTCTTGTTTGAAAAGACTTATATGTTGTAATCTTAACGGTTCGAATCCATATGATGTCCAATTTCTTTGAAGACTTCTAGCAAACAACTCCAGACACATTGGAGTATCCGGTAAAAACTGTGTCAATATTTCTGTAATAAATTAAAATTTCAGTTATGTTTTATGATTTATTATTTATTTTTGCAATCACTTTGAAAACCAACCTGTTAAATTTGGCTTATGCGAATGCAAAGCACTTGGTACGCTTACAATAATTTTTTGATCTGGTATTATTTTGAAATCGCAATCATCATTGATTATATTTCCAGCATTAAAACGGCCAATTATTATTTGTTCAAATGGTTGCTTAACAGGCGGTTTTGAAAAATCACATATAGGTTTACCATCTTTTGTTATCTAAATTATAATAATAAGAAACATAATTAAAATAACTATTATTTGATCAATATATTTTATCATAAACTGACTTAAAAAAAAGTACATACTTTAACCCAATACCAAATAGCTTCTTTTGTTAAATTCCATTCAGGAAAAAGAACATCGTTTATATAAGTCAAGTGGCTTGGTGAATTAGTACACCAAATTAAAACAATTCCATTATGTTTCAAAAGTTTTTTAATGGGCAAATTTAGTAGTTCTGAGTTTTCAAGCATATTATAACTGCAAGAACAATAAATTTATAAAATTTTCAAAGAGCCAAGATATTTAATTAATCTTTTAATTATATATTAAATCATTAGCATTTATTATGTTTAAAACCTTAATCCTAATCCTTGGGATTTTTTCCTTCTGATATGTTTATTCCACCAAGGAGGGTCCAGTGCAATCAAATCATACTGTATCGAAAAGTCTAAGTGGTTCTTCATTTCTCTAATATCGTAACTATAGAAGTTGCAATTTGCAGGTATAATAAATTTTTCATCATTTAATATCACAAGTAAATTATCACTGGAGTTATTTCCACCCTTAGAATATTTAGCAAAATCAATGGAAGATGTTTCCTTGTAAAATTCATTTGAAAATAATTTTGCAGATTTATTTTCATCTTTTGCAGAACCATGAAATGTACTGATATATCCTAATTGTCTTGCTTGTTTAATAATTTCAACTAATTTTAGTTGAACTAATAGAATCTAAAAATGATTATTATTTTAATATCAGATATTTAAAAAAAAGATAAGTGAAAGTTATATTGTGTGATTATAAATAAATAATATATGTAAAGAAATATTTTAAAAGTATATTATACTAACAGTCTCATTTAAATTACACGTATCGATGAATGTTTTGCAGGACAGTTTTCTCTTTTTAGGTTTTATATTATCTTCAGACTGCTCTTGCTGATTTGGTCTTAAAAATTGTGAATTTATATTAAACAAAGATGGGTTAACGATAAAACTTTTTGAAATTCCATCACATTTGATAGACTTAATATTAAGATTTATAAAATTTTCTTGATCTATAAGCCAGCCTGCATCACTACTCAAAAGAATACTCATGTTGGGTTTCTAAATCATATTTTATCACAATGTAGTTTTGCTGAAAGTTACTGTTATAAGCAGTTTTAATATTATAATTATTTAGTTTGTAATATTGATAAATAAAATTAATAATAATACTAAAGAGGTTAAATTTGTTTTGAAAATTCTAACCTCAAATTTAAAATTGAAACGTCACTTGCTAAATATTTATACCATTCTTCTTACTTTAAATCTTAAGTCATACATGTGCTTACTTAAACACAATATATATTTATTGTTTAAGTTAAATAATAAAAATTCAATAAAATGGGGGCATCCAGGCTAGAAATCAATGTCGAAAGACTTTTAAATAAATGTGAAATAATGGCTAATGATGATTTAAATAGGGATTGGCGATTAGAAACATATATTAAATCCTTAGAAAAAATGATAAAAGACTTGCATAGTATGCCAGTGTAAGTACTGTTTTTGTCATATATTTTTTTCATAGTGTTACTTTAAAGATTTTTAAAATTTTAGAACTTGTAAACCAGAAAAAGAGGTTTTGACAGATTATATCAGAAGGTGTACTTTTCTAAAAGGCTTAATTAAAACTGAACAATTAGAAAACGCTACTGAAAAGATTCTGGCCGTACAATTATTATCGCATGGTGTTGCTACTACTGAAACAAATCCAGTTACAAAAGAAATTCATCAAAAAAGTACTAGTAAATTTGAGAAACAACTCAAAGATGAATTATTTGGAGTGAAGAGAAGAGGTAAATCATTTAAAGATTATGGTTATCTAAAGTTCTTTAGACTATTATATTGATATTGATATATTCCATTGATTCCTAATTGAAACAATTAAAAATTATATATAAAATCGTACAAGTAGACAGTAAACTGATCTGGGAATTTAAACCTTTTTAGATACACAAGCTTTTTTGAATTTGTCGTTATATACCTACAACCACCCAAATAACTAATATATTAAAAATTATTATATGTAGGCTTTTATTTTCTCGTTTCTACCTTGTAATGTTTTTTATTATAATAAAGCCTTTTGCACGATTAAAGCATTATATTTTGTGATTTAATAATCTTTATACACTTTAATTTTCATTAACCTTTATACACTATGTATAAGATAAGCTGAAAGAATGATGAATAGATCAATAATAAGCATATTTTCTGTATAAAAACTTTATATAATCTCTTTGTGTAATCAACCATTGCTATAAAGTATTGAAAAGACATAGTAATCTCGAAATAATAATAAAATAAGTTTATCTTTAGGTATTTGTTTCAATTGTTAAATTAATTATTCATTCCAGATTTACTATCAGACTCTGCATTACGCTTGCGGCAATCATCATCTGTTGGAAATTCAGAAGCTAGCTCAGGAGAAGATCTTGATGTATTAATTAAGTATCATCATTCTATGCAAGAAAAAATAGCAGAAAACATGTTGTCTATGGCAAAAAATTTAAGAGAACAAAGTGAAGTAGCAAGTTCAATAATAAAAAAGGATACAGAGGTAAATTTGATTGAATTGTTTGAATATAAATATGCATTTTTTTAAGTGCTAATTTATTGTAATATTTTTATATAAAGTTGTAATATTATATGCTTTCTATAATATGTGTTGCACTCTATATTATATTGAGTTTTATAATATATTTACAGATTGTTGCAAAATCAGCAAAAATAACTGATGACAATGTTTCATCATTAAAAACTGAATCAGCTGTATTAGCAGACCATAATAAAAGGGCTTGGAAATGTTCTTTATTGTTTATGATAATTATAGTCATCATAATATTCATAAGTATGGTCATGTTTATGAAATTATTTAAGAAAAAAGTAATTATGTAGCCTGTAAGTTTTTAATTTCTACAAAACTAAATATGACTGTTTGAAATTAAAATATTGCACATATATATATATATATATATATATATATATAATTTCTTTCAAAAATTTATTTTAAATCCATACGTTTCGGCTATAATCCTAGCCTTCATTCAGTGGAAAAATTAGTTGATCTTAGTGTTAAATTGGAAAATTTTAATAATCCATGGTATTAGGATATGGTAATGCACTACACTATGTATTATAAACATTAACTTGAAATTACACAATATTTTCACAAAATACTGATTTTAAAAAATCACAAATGGATAGTGTGTTATTCGTAGACTGGTTGAAGATGTAATGGAGAAAGACCTTTTACCATGGAAATATCCTAATACCATGGATTATTAAAATTTTCCAATATAACACTAAGATCAACTAATTTTTCCACTGAATGAAGGCTAGGATTATAGCCGAAACGTATGGATTTAAAATAAATTTTTGAAAGAAATTCATGTTTTTTATTGATGTTATGCCCGATTGTTAGACTTTGTTAATACATATGTCAACATCAAATTCAGAATCATACAATATATATATATATATATATATATATATATATATATATATATATATATATATTCAATAGATAAGTCCTGGATTTTTTCAATATATTGATTGTTTCTTTTCCGAACAGTAAATCCAATAATAAAAAACAATTTGTTTTTTGAAGATGTTTAATATGACGTTTCGGAACTAGGTACGTTCCATCATCAGGTTTATTCTGTCAAATACAATGTTTTTTAAAAATATTGATTAACATTAATTAATGATGGTCAATACAGATTAATTAGAAAAAAATTTTATAAAGGAATGGATTATGTACCGGGGTAAAGAGTAATAAGAATTAACTAAAAAGGTTTTATATAAAATTGAGAAGCAAAAATTATTTACCTGTAATAATTTATATATCCATATCACTAATATTTTTTTGTTAAAAACACTCGATTTTTTTGGAGGATATTTGTAGATGTTACAACTACACAAGACTTAAACACACTGATATGGAGTTCTGTCGGCCAGATGTAAAGGACAACGTACGGAATTCCTGGCAAAAATGATTTTTTATGGCTCTTGTATTGGTAATTTACGAAAAAAGAGGAAATATTGCTTTAGTAAATGTTGAGAAATATTATGTATATATATATACATGCACATGCATATGCACACCTACATACTCATACATACATATGCACATATCTATATATTAATGTATCTACAATTATATACATGAACATATATGCAAGTGCATGTATATAGTGTACACACAAAAACATACATATAAGCACATATATGGATGTGCATCGCGTTTTCTAATAAAGATTTAGTTACTAGTGTTGTGTTTTGGGTATGAAAAGAAGAGTGAGACAATATGATTGCGTGGTTTATCAAAGAAATGATTGTATTGACTTTATAATTTTTGGGACAATATGATGCGTAATGAAGGTATCTTCCTGACCATGTAGGTTTTTTGTACCAATCTGTGCAAATAATGTTGTCAATTTTGTGTACAGTTACGTCTAAAAAGTTTAATTTGTTGTCGATTTGTGTTTCATGTGTGAACTGAATGCTCTTATTTTAATTGTTAAAGGTATCGAGTATCATATCTGATTGTTCTTTGTCTATTATAAAAAAAGTGTCATCTACATATCTAACATAAAAATATATTTGGAAATTTAATGTGGAGAAAACAGAAATTTCAAGGGTTTGTAAAACTAGGTCTATAATGCCAGGGGATAATGGGCAACCCATAGCAGTACCTTTGATTTGTAGATAAAAATTATTGAAACAATTAAAATAAGAGCAATTCAGGACAGTGTTAATGATGTGTTTGAAAGTAGTTATCGGAAAGTCGGTGTAGTTACAAATAGTGGGCCAGCGTTTTTCAATTGAATCAAGTATTAAATCATGGGGAACACATGTGAAAAGGTTATTTACATCAAGACTTAGAAAAATTTGATCGTCCGTAATGTTTCGGTCTTTGATTAGATCCACAAATTGGTAAGAGTTCTTTACATAGTGAGGAGAGGAAATTGTGACATTTTTTAAAATATTGGCAATGTGTTTAGCGATATTATAGAATGGGGAGCCAACGTAGGATACAATGGGTCTAAAGGAGCATTCAGGTTTGTGGACTTTGGGGAGACAATACATTTTTGGGAAAATAGGATGTTGTACTTTTAAATTACTGGCAAATTTGTCAGAAATGAATTTTTTTATTTTTTAATTCATTAATTAATTTAATTGATTGTCTAGAAAACTGTTGTGTTGGATCATTTGTAATGATTTTGTAAGTAGTATCATCTTTTAGCATTCGTAATGCTGTGTTAGTATAAAATTCTTTGTCAAGGATTACCGTCATATTGCCTTTATCTGCTGTTTATATTATATTATTAGATTTAATAAATAATTTGGTCTTCGCTATATCTTTGTGTAGTCTTTTAAGATGAATATGTTGAAAACTATTTAAATTTAAATTTAAACTTTATGAAATACACCTATTTGAAGATATACAGTAAAAAGCAAAGCAAGCTCTTTGAATATGTGATAATTAAATTGTTTTTATTCTTGTCTAGTATTATAACTCTCTACAGCAACTCGATGTACTTTAAAATCTAATTAGATTCGAGAAAATTTTTGCCAGTGATAAAATTTTAAATCATATTAAAAATATTGTATCAAAGCATTATTTGCAATTAAATTAACAAACTGTTATACATTTCAAACAATACCATTTACTTTTGGTGAATTTCACAAAGTTTAAATTTCAAGTTTGAATTTCGCGCTTTAAATTGTACAAGAGGTGACAGTCATTCTGACACATGTTGATAACTTCCAAAGAAATTTTCGTGAATTAACACGCGGTCGGTTAATTATGATTTTTAATTAAATCCTTGATTAGTTTTAATTAATTTAAGCATCAAAACGTGTAATTAATTTAGTAGATCGATTTGATATAATAAATTTATCGTAAAACGTTAATTAAAAGCCAAAAAATGGATATGTGTAGAAGTGCCTTGGTGTACCTTGAATAGTTTGATAAGTATCTCTTTCAGGGCCTCCATTTTGACTCAATTTTATAATTAAACAATTCATTTACAGCGTCAATGTATCCTTTATTTATATATATGCAATTATCAATAGTATAATTTATATATGTGCTTTTGTAGGTTATACTTTGGTACTTTTACCACATATCTCTTTATTATCGAATTCTAAATTCACGAAAGTCTCTAATGTAAGTCGTGTGTCGTGTATTGTGTAAAGACTTTACTCGGACAATTGCAACAGGTCAAATTGACTTGTAAAAGACTAAAGTTATGTAGTGGTTCTAAAGTAGTATTTTGTGTCGAGGACTTGAGATTTCTGGCAGATGCTCCAGAGGTGGTTCGAGTAATGAGTTAGTGCTCTGGGAGCTGCTGTAGAGGATATCGAACAATGTAAGTGCAAAGCATGTTTTATACAAAGCGAGTCAAAGAATATATTTCTGATATATACAGGCATTTATCATATTACATCTGATATGTAGTACTTTATTTTAAATATTAAATATTTAATTATTATGTATATATAATATATATATATATATATATATATATAAAGCGAGAGGGCTTTCTTCAGATGGTGAAATAATATGTATATAGATGGTATAATAATATCCAGTAATTAATAACAGTTTTATTGAAAGAAAATATTTTGATTTATTTAATTTAATAAATTGGTCAGATTTTTACATGTTTTTGTTTATATTTTTCTGTGGATGGGTCTAATCAAGACCCGAAACATATGTTTTCTTAATAAAAACATTTTCTTTCAATAAAACTGTTTTTAATTACTGGATGTATGCCCAAGAACAATTTTATCTTATATTGAATATTTAAAATAAAGTACTACATATGCAGTATATATGCATTAAGTTTTTCTTATCTTTGTATTTAAAGCAGTAAAATAATTTTGAAAATGTTTACTTTATCACAATATTTTTTGTAATCTTTAGTGAAACTATAATTTTAATAGAAACAAATAAAAAGATATTACTCATAATTTATTTTCTGAAAGAGGTTTACAATTAATGACCAAGTTTTTTATTATATACTACTTTTATGCTTGTAATGATAATATTTCTTATATAGTTATGTAAATGATGCTTGTTTTTCATATTAAATGAAATTAATTGAAAGATGCTTTGGGAACTTGTGCCTCTCTTATCCGATATCATTTATGAAGCAGTCTGTATATATTTTAGTGAAATATTTTCTGGCTCGTGCATTATTAATATAGTTGTATACATATATCTGCTGAAAATATCGTTTATACTATTATATTTGAGTCAATATCATTTTCTTTAATAAGATATACTTTATTAATTTTTAATTCATAAAATACAATATATTCTTTGTTTATTCAACTACAACTATTATGCTAATAAAAGATTTTAAATTAATTTGGCAGACATATGTATTAAAGACTATGTTCATACTTAATTTGCTATGGGGAAAACATGTTGATTCAGTTTTTTTTAATTTACTTATGAATTAAAATTTTATGAATGTTTTAAATCAATATAAAAGATAAAAGTTAGTACTTCTCGTATGTATCAAAGACATTGAAAGTAATTTATATTATTACAATTCCATAATAATATTCCACCAGAGATTTCTTTGCTCTATATTAAATTTTTGTTACCAAATTATTAGTTAACCAATACAGCTTTTTGTAAGCATCGATTACTCATTTGTTGAAGAGGCCCTAGCATTCTTCCTTAGGTAACTCCTAAATTGATGGTATTTTATTACAAATTACAAATTTACTTTGTTACAAAAATCTCTTCTTTTGTGACACCTCTTGTTCATTATTCTTCAGAAACAATTTTTTAAATTACATTTCCAGTATCAAGAATCATGTGTTTTCCCTGTAGCGATATTAACTGCATGTACATTCTTATTTATGGATAACACGAT